CCCCAAAACCCCAAAACCCCAAAACCCCAAAACCCCAATAATTTGAATTTTAATTGAGATTATATTTAAAATTATCTAAATGGACTCCCAGCCTGAAAATACCCCGAATATTGACGACATTACATCATCTGTGATTCCTGATGCCTTTGAAGATGAGCTACGAGCGAGGATTGCTGAATCTGATGAAGACAGCTTTAGTCAGTGTTATAATAAAGAACTCAGGGTTAGCAAAGATGAAATCCCAATAGTCCTAATGGAACTTAACGATGCAGCACATAACTATCTTAAATAAAGAACATTATGATAAGGCTTTGACTCTGTTACAGAAATCCCATGGAATTTTAGAGGTCATTTCACTCGACCAAAACAGGAGAGACAGGAATATGGCAGTAGTTACATTCCAAAATATGGCAATGTGCTACCAGAGACAAGGCATGCTAGAAGAATGTGCAAGCTGTCTTAATTCCTGACTAGAATTCGTCCAGAAAGTAGTCCCAGAGAACACTATTTCTGAAAGAATGTGGATACTCAAGAACGAATGCAAGCTCAGGATGCAATTATGAGCTATACTAAGCCAGATTCATAAGCATAAGGAAGCATTAGTACAAGCCCAGAGAAGCGTTAAGCTAATCCATCATCTTTTCAAAGATCTTTATGATCTCTGAGTTTATTTCTACAGGTAAGGGAGTATAATGCAACTTCCTAACAATTTAGACGGCAGGAAATAGAAAGACAGCTTCTGATAGATTTGAAAGAGAAACTTATTAATAATCTGATCGACATTGACTCTGCTTCCTTGTCAGAGCTTAATGAAGAGTCCCTGACCTTAATTGAAAAAACATCAGTAAAGTTATTACCTATAGCAGAAGAGATTCTGAAAAGGATGATCAAAGAGTCCCAGCCTTACAAATTTTGCGACCTTCCTGACATGACAGAAAAAGCTGACATGAGAAATATATTAGGGTTCCTAAATCAGAACGAGTGGGTTTATAATCTTAATATCGGAAATGTGATGCAAATTTCCAGTGTATCACATACAGAGCTAATGCATGCTCCTAAAATTGAATATGAGCTTAGCCGAGAAGCTTTCCTTGAGAAAATCACAATCCTTTCTGTTGCTTATTTCTGCACATCAACAGAGTTGAGATTTATGCTCCAAACAAAGGATGAGCCTATCCAAGATTTGGAAAGGAAGGAACTAGTTTCAGAATACTGGCATGCTAAGAGTTTAGAAATTGCTTGAGTATTTCTTCCTTCTGAATGTCCATTACTAAATCACATATTGCTAAGCTACCAAAAACACCATGCTCCTTCTCAATACACAATTCCTGAGGATTCAGAGTATCAGGATAATCTCGTAATCATAAAACCAATGAATGGGATGCAGTCTTGAAAGTACAACCCCATTGTTCGGAAGACGCCTAAGCCAGATCCCATTCTCGAGCCGTACAACCTAGAGCCTCTCAGTAAAATCACAGATTCTTTGTTAGGAAAACTTGAAGAAAATGAAGTTAAAACTATCATCACTCAGTCAAACAAGCACACTGGCCAAAACAGTGTGGTAAACCTAAAAGATCGGAACATTGAAAATAAGAGAGAATCAAACCGAAACTCAGAAAGAGCCAAAGAAGAGGATGAGAAAGTCATTAAAGAAACTTCTGTCAACTTTGAAGACGCCTATGACGACTCTGCCATAATTGAAGGCCAGATTAGGAAATCTCAAGGTTTGTCAAAAACTGGTTCTAAATATGAAGAAAGCAAGAACTCTTTAGATTCTGTAGTTGAGTGTCATAATAAGCCCATTTCTAATAATGATACTGAACATTTGAATCCTTCGAATGATTATTCAAGTCATCGTGAGAGGAGGATGAATGTTGATGCCACCACTAACACTGAGATAGGCAGTGAAGATATAACACAACTGCAGTCAAAACTTGAATCTCTTAAGAAGGGTCCTAAAGTGTCTTCGATCGGAATTAACACGAACAACTATCAAACTCCTCGAATAAAGAAAGGTACTGATGGTAATGATCCTATCACTATGGTAATGGAAGATCTTGAAAAGGACCCAAAGTTCATCCATGAACTCTCTGCTATAATTGGAGAGAGACTTCGGACTAAGCCAGCTAGTTTACTCCAAACTAGAGGAAATAATACTATTGAAGAGTCATCTAACGAGCAAATTCTGGATGAAAACAGCCATAGAATTGGTAAGACTGACATAATTTTTACTCTATTTTGATTAAAACTTTTATATTTCTTCTCATTCACTTTGAATAGATACCGAAAACTCAAGAGTAAACCAGAGCGAGATACTTGAAAGTAAAAATCATAACTTCATCGTTGATAAGGCAAACATAAAGCAAACATTAAAGAAAGTTCAGATGAAGTCTTCCAGCTGAAACCGTGATGAAGTATCCAAGGAGGCCCGATCCAAGGCTTTAGACCCTCGAGACGAAAACCTCGGTCCCAAAGAAACATCAATAATCGAAAAGCACATGAACAACTTCCTCGACGAATGTCTCACTGAAGAGAAATCCTTCACACGGAACAAAAACCACAAGAAACACCGCAACAAATCCAGGCCTAGCACATCTCTGTTCAATAAAAAGCGGAAATCCTCTGGCAATGGGCTAATCCCAGGCGGACGCGGGTCTCGCCCGAACAGAACAGACTCTGCTACAGGAATGAATAAATCAACAAGTAAGGAGAAATATAGACCAAGCTCGGCTTTCTCCTCTCATTATGTCAAATACAAACCTAAAAGCAAAAAGCCACAAAAGATAACTCATCAGAAAATTAATGTAAAAACTCGGAACACACGAAACCATCCAACTGGAGTCAATGCTTCATTTGAAGCAATGATCTCTGAGCTCCATAAGCTAAAGAAAAGTGGAAATAAGAAAGAATATAACAAAATCGGTTCAGAATCATTTGAAATTTCCAAAATGGCCAACTCCACTCTCGCTTCCCACTCAAAATCCACAAACCGCATCACAAAGAGGTCAAATTCAGGAAAGGTAAAACGGAGGGCTAATGACAAAAAGATGGATATCAACAACTACAAAATGCTGCAGATGCTTTCAAAGGAGGATATCGCCCACAACCATTCTATGTACACCAAGCCAAATCCGAAGGTAAGCCTCTTCCATCATTCTAGGTTCGGAAGTTCAGTGACTCTAACACAAAAATCGCTATTAACAAGTTCTACAAGAGCTATGACACCACGAAGAAAAAGAAGCAGAAGGAGAAGCCTGCCAAGACTCGGCCCTCTGACGTCCTCAACGTCAGCTTCTGGTAAAGCAGCCTCGCTTGAAAGCCAGCTTGGCTTTGGATTCGCAGCTAATTTTTAGTAGATTTAAGAACTCAATTTATGTTGAAGGAGGTGGGGTTTTGGGGTTTTGGGGTTTTGGGGTTTTGGGG